GGATATATTTCTTTTACTATATTTTCAACATACTTTTCGTAGAACTCTTTTTATCACCGATATATTTCTTTCATTAATCCATCAAAGGCTACGAGATCTATTCGTTAGATGACACTGGACATTAAGAGGGACGATGAAATCCATTATAACAGTTTTTTTTAAATAACCTTAAAAAGTTAAAATAACCTTAAAATGTACTTTACACTGTTATAATGCCACAATTCACACGGAAAATAATAATAATTTGAGAAAGTTGACTTTGAGCAAGGTAATTAAAAACGTGCGAACTATATAAATACAAAACTTGTTCAGTCTATCGTTGACCTATGTCACGACAAAGAATCATTGACCAGTCTTGGGCGGCGAGTGTATGACAACATGACAACGACGTATTTATCGACAGCTCAAGGTAGACCATTAAGTTTTTGACACACCTAGTTGCTCTTTTCTATAAATGACAGCGGCTTAGCAATGAATTGCAGCACTAAGGGCCGCGGGTTCAAATCCCGCACGGAACAAGTATTTGTATGGCCTACAAATAATTGTTCCTATTCTGTATGTTTGTCTTTGTGAAATTAATGTAGGTATGTAAAATGAACACGGTACAGGAGAAAATCCTAGTGGGGAGGTATCGTTTTCTTTAATATAAAAAGGTAAATATAAAAAATATAGCGAATTTAATAAGAACGAGTAGCGTGACCTTGTCAAGTCGATTGAGCCCAACCTCACTCGCTTCGCGTTCGAGGTATGCAATTATACCATGATTAACCTTAATTAATTTGTGACGGCGGTGCCATTTGGCCAAAATATCGTAAATAGACCAAACAACAACAGAAACGTAAATCACCCCATCAACGTTTCCAAACTACTCTGCGTCTAAAGACAAAATTCTTTGCTACCACACAGAGTGTTGACCGTTCCCCGGACTGTACAGTGTACACCTTACATTTTTTATCTCAATACTTCTATAAAAAAATATATTTTTAATTTTGCGCTTGGTGCGTTCCTTACTTTACAAACTACAGAACGAACGCATATTTTACTTAGATTAAACTGTTCTTGAACTGTCTGCTTATGAATAAATTATTCATATTCTGCCTCTACTATTGCAGTTCAAATCTGTAACAATATTTATGCCGTTACCCAGTACATACGAGTACAATGTATTTATTAATATGTTATGTGTAAAATGTATACTCTCGCACATCTCATTTTTTAATAATATCATTAATATTAGATGGAGTGACGAACTGGTAAGACATGCAGGAAGTCGATGGATGCAGGTGGCTCAAGACCGTGCTTGTGGGGTAGGCCTATGTTCAGCAGTGGACTTGTGAAGAATAGTAATGACGATGATCATTAATATATTTTTTAAATTAAAGTGATAAAGGAACTTGTAGTATCTTGTAGTATCCATGACAAAAACTCAAGCTACAGATGCGTTTACATCTCTGAGGACCAACATGGCATGTCTCACAGCCTGTAACAATGCTGGCTTTATAGACCCTTCAGGTCCGAACACAGTGTAGATAATATAGAATAGATGTACATGGGCGACAGCATCCACTTACCATCAGATGGAAACCGATGGGAAGAACCTCATACTGGCAAGCGCAGTGTTGGGCAACCACCCTCTAGATGGAGTGACGATCTGATGAAACACGCAGGTAGTTGATGGTGCGGGTGGCTCGGAACCATACTTTGTGACAATCTATGGGGGAGGTCTCTGTTCAGGAGTGGAGTGTGATGAGCAGCAGTGATAGTGTGTGATAGTGATAGTGTACTTTAATAAATAGGTTATGCTTATCATTTTTTAGTTAAATTATACCCTCATTAATTACCAAAGATAGAACTTGAAATAACTACTACTTTATAAACAAACGGAAGCAGGAAATATTGAACACATTCGTTATCCGAGTAGAGGAAAAGTTAGCACTTGATATAAGCGTGACGGTTAAGGTTAACATGAACTATCTAAATTATTAGTTATGATAATTAAACGAAAAAATGTATAAACTTGTCTCGAAATAACTAAAAAGTATAAAACAATTTCCACTAAATTTAATAGTTTCTGAAGTCGTGCTAAAACAAAGTAAATCGAAGAACTAAAACTCCGAATTTAGAAACTTACAAAATGCGTCGTAGTTAATTCCTTTTAACTTTTTAAGGTTATTTTTAAAAAGGACCTTTTCCAGAGGAGTTGACAATAAATAAAACTCAGGGTGGCAACTACAACGTCGTCCATGTATATTTTCCGTACTCATAGGTAGAATTTTTCCTATTTAAAATTAAACACCCTCGAGATATTTTTTATAGAACGGGGGTAACAAACGAGCACACAGTCCAGATGATGGTAAGTAGGTGATGTAGCCCATAGACATCTACATTTATCTTCGGTCAAGAATCAAAACGCAGATGCATTATCATCCCTGAGGACTACAGTGGAATTCCTCGTTTCCGGTAAAAAGGGTCTCCGGTTCTCTAATCTCTAAACTCGCCAAGAGCGAATTGGTTTAACTTAACAGGTTTAGGTTTTGGTTGTCCTTCCCTGGACTAGCCGATCTATTTATGCTACAACCAGAATATAGCTGCAGCGTAGCTCTATCAGGTAAAAATGAATTTCTATTCTATAAAATTATACAAATTTAATAAATAGAAATAAGACGACACTAAATTATTACGCCTATCTATAGAATTAATATATGACTCGCCCATCGTTCTCTGTTGTAATGTGAAATCATTGACTTATATATTATTGTGTGTAATACCGATATTAAAGAGTATGCGCCTATAGGTTTTCTAGGATTTGAAAGTATTCATCAAAATAAATTTTAATTAAATAAATAGCAAGCAGTGAAACAGTTTTTAAGTTTCTAGAATAGTCACTTTTATATTTTGGAAATCAAATTCGGTCCTTGTATTCACTTATTTAAAATTAAAATAAAACCTAGTAGGAAATTATGATACTTCAGCGTAGGAAATTTAGTTAGTTATTTATAATATCTACTTATTAATTTGTAAACACTTGCAGTGGTGGGAGTAGTTATTTAAACTACTTCTAAATATCAATCACATTCACAAAACCTAGAATAACGACGCAGTCGTTAAGCTAAGTTTTTGTAGTGATTGTAAATGTGATGACTGTTCATGAGGATCCGAAAGGTGTGGGTTCGAATCCCGGGTCAGACCTAAAAAGGCAAATCTGTTATTGAGTTGGCGGTGTCTCACCCCAGTACCTCGGAAAGCACGTAAAGCCGTTCGTACTGTGCCTGATCTCTTTCCTGACATGTTGGTTTACTGTCCCATCGAATTATGAGAGTAAGAGAATAGAGAGTGCACCTAAGCTTGCGCGTATACGTCGGCACTATAATTCTGTCCTATGCCGATAGCTAGTTATTTCCTAATTATAGACATTATTATTATAAATATCTACTTTGTTGTTAAAGAAGTGACATATTTCCAATTACATGGTACAGTCACAGGCTCTCAAAGAAAACCAGCGTAAAATAGCAGTCCAATGCTGCTGTTTTTCATATGGTGAGTGTAGAGAACCGGAGACCCTTTTTATTGGAAAAAGGGCGTTCCACATTAGTCCTCTTGGTTGGCAACGCATCTACATTTTGATTCTTAATTGAAGATAGGTGAACATGTCTATGGGTCACGGCATTCACTTACCATCATGTAGGCTGTGTGCTCGTTTGTCACCCTTATTCCATAAAAAAAAACAATTTTAAAGCAAATTACACAATTCTTTTCTAACGTTCACAATATGTCTGCAACTACTCAAGTACGTTGTATAATCCTTTTTCCTTAGCGAATAACAACGGACAATAATGCTCCCATCATAAGAAATTCATCTTGGCTCCTTATTTTTTAACTGGAAGGCAATTAAACCAGCAGACTGGATAATTTCTTACCGCTCGGTTGGATTTATGTCTTGCGAGAAATTCGCCTTGCCGTAAGGTGATTTCCGTGTCTATAATCGTGAAATAATTATTTGAAAAGTTTTTAGGAAAGAAAAACATTCTTAAAGTATTACATTTAACTTTAAGATAGTCCGCGTAGTTAAACAGGAGCAAGAGAGAAGATTCAAAAGACGTTCGTGATTGATTTGGGGCATAACAAAAATATTCACATATATTACAAATTTTACGAAAATGTCTTACCTTAGTCGTGTGTCAAAACTGTAAATTGTGCAAAAAAAAACAATTACAGATTGTGTATCTAATACCTGTATGCTAATTGTTATAACTGAAATTGAATTGTTATAATAACTTTTTCTCTTTTTAAATAAAACGTTACTTCCACACAAGGATTTGATTAGGTAACTGCTCCCAGTTGACATACATACATTTCATAAGGAAACGCATCCAAAACCAGAATAATTTTTTGAAGACAATCAGATACTTATTCCGTGCAGGATTCAAACCCGCGGCCCTTAGAGCTGCAACTCATTGCTGAGCCACTGCGCCACAGGGCCGTTATAATTTACCTTATTGAAATTTATTACTTCGAATGCATCATCCCAATTAACACTGTTTAAATATTTTATTCAAAATAACTAATGATATAATATGATATACATTAAATTTCTTAACTATCCATTACAGCCCGAAAAAAATCATTGCTGAACACTGGTCTCTCCATAGGTTGCCTCCTAATTTTACCTTGGTTGGCACGCTTGGCGGACGTGTTGCCAACCGCAGTTGTTTATTATTTTGAATTGTCATCAAGAATGTACAGCTGCCCAGCACCTGTTTCTGTTTCTTTCAACAACTATGGGACGATATGGTTAGTGGATATTCACACGCTCCTACATGGTTTGCGGTGTAATATCCTCTACTCCATATTGTAGTACTATCACACTATTCCTCGCTCGTATCTCCACCTGTTATTTCTTATATTAAAATATAAAATTAACAGTATAATTTGTTTGTTACAGATTCCTCGCTATTTGGTGGCCACTCAAATGCCAAATAACGAAACGCCGCGCCAGAATGATGATCGTATTCATTTGGATATTTGCCATCTCGGTCACCACGCCCTGGGTGTTCTTCTTTGATCTGGTGGTTGTTTTCGAAGACAGCCCACACGTACGACTCTGTGTGGACGTCTGGCCCAACCCCTTGAGCGAGATCGTGTACTTTGTGATTGGTAACCTCATCTTCTGCTACATTTTGCCAATGGTACTGATAACCATGTGCTACATTTTAATTTGGATCAAAGTGTGGAGACGCTCCATCCCAACTGACACACAAGATGCCCAAATGGAGAGAATGCAACAGAAATCGAAAGTTAAAGTTGTTAAAATGCTAGTCGCTGTTGTTATACTTTTCGTGCTGTCCTGGTTCCCACTATATTTGATCTTTGCAAGGATAAAACTAGGCGGACCCATTCAAAAATGGGAGGAAGACATGTTGCCAGTTGTAACGCCATTAGCGCAATGGCTTGGTGCTTCAAATTCGTGTATCAACCCAATACTATACGCTTTCTTTAACAAGAAGTACAGGAAGGGTTTCGTCGCAATTATTAAGAGCAGGAAATGCTGTGGACGTCTTCGTTATTACGAGACGATCGCGCTGCAGTCTTCAAGTACATCTACCAGGAAATCATGGCATTATAACAACAATAATCATGCATCGATCACCCGCCGGTCGCCGCCCGTTGACAAGAACGCCGTATCTTTTATCTTCAATCACACGGGAGTTTAAGCTTTCCCGCAATGGATATTGGAATTGATTTACATTGGAGCTTGTGAAGCTCACGACGCGTCGGTACCTTGGGGTCGTGGAACGCGTATTACCATATCGACTGCTGTTTTCTATGCTTATAAATTATTTTTCATTTCGTCAGTTTGATGTGGTTTTGTAACAGTACCAAATTGTCGACCTTTGCGACGTTCAATAATTCTAGGTTAAGTGAACTTACTGCGTGGTATATTTAAATGGTTTTTACTAAGTAGTGTTAAGATTTAAACTTTTATACGTAAAACGTTTTAGGTGTTTATAAGATTTTATTTTTACATTCCTTGTATAAATACAAAATTGCGGTCGTAAACGCACATCTAGCACAAAAATAAAACTTATGTAATTTAATTTACCTACTATCGTACTTTGCTACCCATGTAGCAATCTCCAACTATTGGAGAATACATTAATTAAATGTTTATTGAAGTAGAAGTTCGCGTGGGAATTCTGTCCACGAATGTTTTTATTTTTATTATACTTTCTTTATTTCTCATTTAAAATAGCAAGAATGAATCAAAAAATCATTACGTTAATCAACATTAAAATTGTATCAACATTTATTTTTGTTGCATTTCTTTTCATTTTGCAAATAGTTAAATAAATCACAAAAATAAACCAAATTACTTAAAGACCTAATCTAACGGTACAAAAAATCCTTATACAATTTTAAATGAAGAAATATTATTACCTATTGAATATTATGTACATATTTTTGCAAAAATATAATATTAATATCGACAAATTCAATAGAGTTCTCAAATAAAAATATATTGTTGTGACGTCGTCATATCATAGCATCTATATTTGATAAATATAATACATTTATTTTTCATATTACAAGTTTAAACTGCTCAAGCAGTCTTCACTTAAAAGCTTCTTAAAAGATTCTGTTTGCGGGCCGATCGGCTTAGTTTAAAAAAAATACTATATTTTGTACAGTTTTTTTTTCTAAAACACGCTTAAATTACCTATAGATCCATTCCATTTAATTTTTAGACGAATTATGGGGAATATTATATTATTTGATTACAGCCTATTAAAAGTTTACCATTGAACACATGTTTTCCTCGTAGATTGTTATATAGGGGGAATATTTACCATAGTAGACCATATTATGGGGTCTAAAGAGTATATAGTCGATTTTCTTGTGATTCCACTATACGGTAAACAGTTATATTATTGAAATTTAAGAAAATTACTAAAACAGGATACCTGCGGAATTTCTTTCGCTGTTACTTCCCAGGACAGAGGTACCTCATTTTAAAACGCTTGTAGAAAAAAAATGTGAACGTTTGACAAACAAGAGATTATTTTTTTATTAGTTTTTTTCATTTTATTTCAATTCAGTCATTAGTGTATAAAGACAAACGACCTTACAGTAGACTTAACAACAATTGACCTCTGCACGCAATTTTTTGACCGCAGATCGTAAATTTGCTACAGAAGCCCTAGGATTAAATAAGAATAAACTGCGTATTTCAGCAAGAAATCTCACTGAGCATTGCAATTCAGAGGAGCACAGCTCGAAACTAAGTAACTCAAGGGTGTGCCGAATCTGTTTCTTTACGGAAGAAACTCTTAATGCGCAAACGTAATAACTTTAAAACTATACACCAACTTATCCCAGAAAAAGTAAATTGCTCACAGATAAGTAAATTCTACAATTCTTTGAAAATATAGGGCTTAGCAGTGAACTATAATTATATCAGCTATCACAGATCATAATAGATTAAGAGCTGCTCACACAAAAGTGACAAACGAAATTTTAGTCCACCTTATGTATGACCACTGCAGCCAATGGACATCAACTTTAAGAGGGTCCGGAAGTGCCGATACGCGGCGCGAGGACTGTGTCATACCGCTCGCTCCGTATCGCCGTATCGTGCGATGGAGAGAGTAGAAGTTTTGGAGGCAATTTCTTCACCCCCCTAAACCTTTACGAAATGAGACAATTTTGGTCTCATTAGATGCAGTACACGTTAATCTAGGTCTGTACGTTTTCTTTTCTTTATAAATTCAGTTTAGTTAAAATAAATTAAAACGCTTCAGGAAGTTTTTAAGTCAAAATATAGATATTTAGATATTAATAACTTATATCGTGTGCAATATTTCTTTTATAATAAAAACGTACGAATCTAGTTTTCCATTATAGCAACCACATTTCCAAAAATTATGAATATTAGACTGTTAATGGGGGGGGGGGGTGTCATCGTTTTTTTGTATGAATATTTACAGCTCGACAATCCTCTTAAGTAGAAAACGCCACAGATGCGTTGTTAAGTCGGAGGACTAAATTTGAATCCCCCAAAGCCTGTAAATGTACTGGCTTCCCTTCAGACCAGACCCCAACAGTGTGTGCACTGTTGCTTGGTGGCAGCTAACTCCTTGGCAGAAAAGATAACCTGCCACCTACTGAGCCATGTACTCAAGAAAAAGTTTCGTGTTGCAGCATCTGAGGTCAATGATAGAATATTCTATAAAACTCCAGTACAGTTTATAGTATACCTAGGTAGAATTGTAGTGCATACTCAAACAGTCAAAATGAAATTCCTCTTAACCATTTTTTTACTATAATAAGAAATATAAACTAAATAAAAATTTTAATCCCACACTTGACATATAATTGTAATACAACGCAACAATTTCTCAAGATTTCATATTAGTGTTAAGTGAAATATTTACTATAATAATATAAGAATATAATTTATATATTCATTATTATTTCGAGGGATCAATAAAGATGGCTATCTTTTGCTGTTATTGATTAGTATGAAAAAAATGTACATGCCATTTTTGTTGATCCCAAGTTTATTAGTCCTGTTAAATACAGGCTAAAAGCCGCTTAAAATGCACAAATCGCAAACGAATATCTTCGAAAATAATTTTAACTTTTAATAATAAAAGTATGTTTAACATCCTTCTATAGTTAGTATAAACATAAAGATATTTAAACAAGTAAATATTTAGGAGTTTACTTCCTCTAAAACGTAGGCTACTAAGAGGTTAAGATTTTAAAACATAACTACATGTACACATAAAGGCACAAAATAATTACCGTTTACTAGTAAAATAATATTAAAAAGAAAAAAAAAAACATATTACTATTTTTCTACGAAAATAGTCCACACAATAATTTGGATTAAGAAAAGGCAAACATTCGGTTGCAAACTCAATTTTCAATAAAAAATATTTAATTTTATTTATTTTTTTCTTCGTATTATTTTTAGTAGTCAAGTATCGCAGTTAAAAAAATTATTTCACAGTGATTTTTTTTAATATCTTCTGCATTTTAATATCGTAGACAAAGTCGAAGCTTGCAAGACTGATACGGGAAAATCCAAGGAAATCCTTTTGAAGGAAATAATTGTGATATCGAGAAGGATTTTGAATTCTACTATTTTTAAAATCACAAAGCTTAGCTTGTAAATAAATCATTAAGTAACGACATTTTTTCCCATTACTTTTTTTAAGATCTACACAGAACGCCTTCTATCGCTTATAGACTAAAGTCATACTTTACTGAAGACTTGATGATTTAATTTTTGTATCAGAGAATTAAAAAAATCTGCTACAAAAGGTCCGTTTAAACGTTACTAACTTATGTTCGTTGTACGTTATTTGCTGCAAAGCGCGACAGAAATTTAAAAAATTAGAATAAGTAAAAAATAAAATTTGATAAAATCCGTACAAGTCAGTTGTTTTAATCAAATAATTCCATACTCTTAACCCTATTGAATTGACCTTTGACCTTTTTTACTGTCTGGAAAATAATTGGGTGTAACATCTGAATGGAGTAGAAGCCTATGGCACTGATAGTTTACAAAAAATAAAAACAAAAACTTTTCAAAAAAAATTTGAATAATTACTTTGCCCTGCAGCCTGTGACCCTTCGAAGTGACAAGGTCAAAGATGTCTACTAAATTTATGGTTTTATTACCGTTCGTAAAGTAGGGTGGATATGATTTGAATTTCGGTTGATTTAAATTAATTTATTTATTTAATTCAATATTTTTTATGTTTTGTGAAATATCAGTGCCATAGCCTTCTACTCCGTTCACATGTTACATCCTATTTTTTTTTGACAGCAAAAAAGGTCACCCAGTATATATAAAACAATATGATTTGATATATTGATTACCTGTAATTATTATAGATGTTTTTATTCCTTAAGTTGCATTTATAATAAATAGTAATATATGAGTCAATGATTTGTAACATACATTTTTTACAATAGGTTATATTATTTACTCAAATTAATTTTTTTAAAGTCAAGCTATATAAATAAAATAAAAATAAACCCTATTTCACCACACGAGCTTAGATGATAATCAGCCGCTTGTTAAGTTATTATAAATAGGCAATAATTGTATTTTTATAAAATTTAACGTAGATTGTATGTCTGGATTTGATAAAAATTTTAATAATATAACAGCTGAACGACTTTTTATTTTAACAGAAAACATATTTTTAATACATTGAACACAATAAAAATACACCCAGCATGTGTAGAGTAGTATGCCATCTGTTGGAAGAATTTGTAGTTTTTTATTAAAATAATGCATTTAATCGTAAATAAATAAATACTAGCGTTGTTTTTATTGAGAATACTAGTCTATATTTATATAAAATTATTAGCAGTCATCGCATATTGTATATACCGATTTATACATTTAATAAAACAGTAACGGTAGATGTTTGAACGTTTATTGTGTTTTAATAGACGCATTCGTGTAATATATGGCCACTTTAAGTTGCTGTGTTTGGTGTTAGATATTAAGGTGATTTATTATAACTTAAAATAAATTTGAGACCTGATTCCAATAAATCATTGTATATTGTCATATTTAAACTTATTCTAATATGTGTTATATGCAAAAGTAATGTGCGTGAATTTGTACTGTTTACTACACACATATAACCATGGAGATAAACAACCAATCAATGGAGTGCAAATTTTTGTCTTG